TATTCTCTCTTATAGCTGATTCTATTTATCAGTATATAGAACACTGGATAGTCATGAGTTCAACTTTTTTCTTTAAAAAGATCTATTTTGCTAAGTGCCAAAATAATCCAGTTTTGCAGTTTGGTACACGAACCCTAAATATCTTCTACCACGTGAAGGCAGTATACGTATGTTCAGTGTTGTTCAAGTTACGGGTACTTATTCTGCTTACGAAGGTTTTATTTGAAAACTGAAAATTGTACTGTTGGGAGGATGTGAGCTATGTTCATGTGCTATGTGTCCGAGGCATTTGTGCCCATGCAAAATTAAGTGAGAAACTATTAGGCTCCTCCTGGAAAAATGTCATGCCTTGTTCTCTGCATCTTTGGTCCATAGTGAAGGTTTGAGGAAAGCTTGTTGGTGGAGGCGTATCATGGCCTGAATATGCTGAGATGAATTCCTCAAAATGACAAAGTCTGGGCACTGATCCAGGAACACACCTCCTCTCTTTCATGCTCTGTTTAAGCTGGCGGCAGAGGAGCAATAGGATACTTCGTCTTCTGAGATAGGCCTGTGTGCTTACACATATGAGTTCATTGAAATCCCCACAAGAAGTCTATGAGATCAATACAATCAACACCTCCATTTACTTGATGGGCAAATGGAGGCACAGAGAGGTAAAGCCACATGTCCCAAGGACCAGAGCCAGGATTGACACACATGTAGCCTGGCTCTTAGGCTCTTCACCACTATGCTAGGCTAAATTTTAAAATAACATAATAAGAAGAATAGGCATCATTTATGTATATTATTATTTACAGTTCTAATAGCAGCAGCTAACATTTCTTGGGTTCTCACTTCATGCCAAGCACTATGCTTAGCACTGTACAGACCATATGTTATTTAATCTTCCCAAGAGTCTTTCCAAGTGGGTTCCAGCTTTATCTCCACTTAAGACCACAAATCAGGGAGGTTCAACAGACTGCTCAAGGTCACAGACCTAGAAGGTTATAAGGCTGTGACTGGAGACCAAGGCTGTGTGACCAACACCCACACCTTCTGTCACGCACTATATGGGAAGATCCTGTCACCAGCTCCCCTAAAACTTTCCTCACATTGGTGTAACTTGAAAGGGGCAGAATCAGCCCCTTAACTAGCATCTGTTCAAGTACCTCTGAGTTAAAGTAACCAGAATAACAAAGGCACTAAGAAGGAGCAGTCACTGAATCTAGTTTTGAGACCCATATTTGTCCTAGAAAAAAGCAGACTGAGAAACCCCACTACAGGTTAGAAAGCCAGGGTGCTCCCAAATCAGCATGCTTCAGCAAAAGCCCAGCCAGAAACCACCAAGCTTCGCAAAGTCCTTTTAACAACGCAGAACAAATAAGCAAAAGGAGGGCTGAAAAGAAGTACTGGCAACACAGCCAGCTCTGCAAGCTGGTGCGAGGTTGTGGAGAGAGGAGAGGGCTGCACACCTGCCGCCCCGGGTTCAGGCATCAACTCTGTCTCTCTCGAGCTAGAGCATCTTCGCCCAGAAATGACAGCTGCTTAGGGTCCCAGATGCCCCTTCTGGGGCCATATGTAACGCCCCATCTATTTTATGTCATTATTTCCTAAACTATTATTATTGTTGTTATTGTTGTTATCTATTAGTCTATTATTGCTCTTATAAAGGAAGTTCAGATAAAATATCGATTGGAAGTACTTTGAGGAACTTAATTTACAAATAAAAGGCATCGTTATTTTTATCATATTTATAGAACACCATGCAGATTTACCGTGAAGAGAAATCATTTCACTCTCCTTTGCCAATGTGTACTTTAAAATTCTGGAATGTTTTCATCAAATTTTTATAGACAATTCTATACCCAGATGTTTACAAACTCCATGTTACGATTTAAAATAAAAGATATTTTGAAGTAAACACTGATTTCATTCATTTAAGCTCCACTAAAGGAAACAGAAAAGATTTATTAATAGCCTAGTAGTAGCAACAAGTTTGGGCTCTGGGCTTTTGGCTTCAAATCCAGATGTTTTTCACTAGCTGAGGTGACCTGGGATAAGAGATTTAACCTCTCTCCCTACCACATTTTTCTCATCCATTAAATAGGGACAATAATTACATCTAACTGAGGGATATAATGATGATTAAATTAAATGGATTAGTCAGGATGTCTAATACACAGCAACCAATAACAAATGTTATCAGTTGTTATTTTCTTAAAAAGAAAACAGCAAAAGAAACATATTTTGCAAGACCTTTTACAAATGTTCGCCTTATCCTAAACGAGAGGCCTGGCAAAAATAATGTGGGGGGAAAAACTTCAATTCTAAAATAAACAAAGTACTTGAAAAGATGAGCTATGAACAAGTCAACGACGCATTTCTTAATGTTACTTTTTTTTAAAGTACCCAAAACTTACAAAATAATAGTACATGTTGAAATTCATGGAAAAGATGGCCAAGGAAACAAGAGAAATGCATAAAAAAATAACCACATGTAACGTATAAAAACAATTACACTAAACAAAATTGATCAAATAGGTAAACTGAACCACCAAAGCCAGTCCAAAAGTTTGTTGCAGGCACATTCCAGCAAGCGAAAGTAGACGCCAAGTTTTGCAAGGTGACAGCTGGTTCATGTGAGGTTAAGTGCTTATTAAATTTATTTTCCTAGTGCTAATTTCACAAGTAGTTCGAGGAAATAAATTTACTTAGAAATAGAGACACCGAACACTAAAAGACTGGAAAGACAACTGCACACAGAAAAAGAACAGCAATACGGGTCAACTCGTCCAGGGATAAAGAGTTTATTCCTCCTTTTCGGTACATATTTACCATCTACACTTGCCCAGGCACATGTGAAACCATAAAAAATGCAAAGAAGGGTAAAATGGTCCCTACCCTTAAGTTTCATAATCTAATGCAGTAAACAAAGATGAAATTTTAATATGGCTCTTTGATGGATAAACACACACTGCGGCACCTACTTAGTCTTAAGGGGATATGGAAGGGTTCTCGAGAGCGTCATGTTGAACATGAAGCCAGGAAGAGTCAGAGTGAACTAGAGAAAGGAGTGTGAGCAGCACGAAGAGGGGACAGCATATGTAAAAAGTACATCAGAATGCCGCTTCTCTGCTTCCTACGCTCCAACAGCTTCCCATTATACTTAAAATGAGATCCTCAATTCGTATCATGGCCTGAAGGGTCCCCTATGATCTGGCCCCAACTCATCTTCTACTATTCCTCCCTTACTCTCTGGACACTCTGGCCTCCTTACGATCATACAACACACCAAGCACATTCCTACCTCCAAGCCTTTATCCTTGCTGCATCCTCTGACTGGGATGCTCTTCCACCAGATCCCTGCAAGGCTCAGTTTATTCAAATGTCGTTTTTCAGGACATCTTCCCTGCCCTCCCCCCATCTAAAAATACCTCGCCACCTCCAGTAATCCTCTGGACACTCTGGCCTCCTTACGATCATAAAACACACCAAGCACATTCCTACCTCCAAGCCTTTATCCTTGCTGCATCCCCTGACTGGGATGCTCTTCCACCAGATACCTGCAAGGCTCAGTTTATTCAAATGTCGTTTTTCAGGACATCTTCCCTGCCCTCCCCCCATCTAAAAATACCTCGCCACCTCCAGTAACTCTATTTTTCTTTCTAGCACTGAAAACCACCTAGATTCTATCACATTCCTCTTGTGCGTTATCTATTTAATGCCCAACTCTTTCATTAGAATGCAAGCTCCGTGGGGCAGAGGCTTTGTCTATCTTTGGTTCAGCAATAAAACAGCAATAAAACATGTACACACTCAAATAGACAAATGGAAGTGTTGATGGATCTCTTCCATTCAAAGTCATGTGAGTCAGGGAGATGAGGCTTTTTCTATACTTCAATATAGAAAATAAGTGAGAGGAGATGTAGTATATACCAGGTATTAAGTTTTTGGTCAACACCGGCTCCAGAAACAGAGATGAACCAAACTGGGAAAGAGGTAGAACACAGGAAAAGACAGAAAGAAGCGAGGGTGGTCATCGGTATCACATTAATATCTGACATGGCTTTCATCGGTGGGGTCTGACTACGCCAGAGTTACTGAGCTAAATATTTAAGTACTTGACATGGTTTATTCTCTTAATTCCCATAACAGCCCTAAACAACTAGGAGGTAGGTGCTTTCACCACTCCCATGTCATAAAAGAGGATGGCTCTTAACCATCATGCTATTTAATCTGACCACTTGGGCCCCTCTCCCTCATGCACCGACTCCTCCATTATAGAGTAGGCTCTTTTGGGTGATAAATGCACATGTTTAACTCCCTGAAGCTTTGAAAGGCAGCCAGAGTTAAGAGGGGTGCCATTGCTCCTACACTCCTTTCTCTAATGCTTGCTCTGAAACAAACAAACAAACAAGCAAATAAACAATAAAAAAGGCAGGATGAGAAAGGGACCACAGAAATAGATCAGCTCAGAGAGACTGCTGGAGAGATTCAAGATCCACCAACCAAATACTCCCGGGCTCCAGCATACTCATCTTTTCCAAAGAGCCGAGAGGTGAAGACCATCCTGCTATCTGAAGTTCTCTCACTACTCATCTCTTGACTTGAACGTGAACTTTCCCTGTAATTGACACTGTGTCTCTAGCCATTTACAAGACTAAACCTCCAAGTTATACAACAGTATTGAAAAGAGAAAATCAGCAACTGTATCGTTTGATGGCAAACATCATGCTCCAACCTTTTATTTTTACTTCTGGGGTTTTTGTTAAATCGACTTAAATATAGACTTTAAAACTATTTAAATAAACTCTTTATTAAGAACTTTATGACATCAACTTAATTTCTGGCAAAGAGAAAGGCAAACGAGTGATAAAGTTTTCTCGTTATTAAAGGAACAGTTATGTAACCATCCTACATGGAAGAGCCAGGCTGAAGTCAAAATGATAAAAGACCGAAATAGCCCTGCTTCTCTCTACAAGGGAAGATTCCAGTGGGGGATTTCACGTGCAACATACTTTTCATATAGCCTCTGTCCTCTCATGAAGGCCTTCACTTCATTGTCCAATGGGAAGGTGCCATCATCCTTTCTAAAGCGGTAGAAGAGTTTGACATCTTTGAATTCCTTATGCTCATCGCATACTGAAACACAACATACAGAGAGAGGCAAATAAGAAAAAAAATCATATTTAATTAATTGAACAAACTAAGATGCTAATTAAGATGTGTTTTACTACCTAATTTCTCAAGCACCCTACACTATATGATCTAATGCATGTACAGTATTTAGCACAGTACCTGGCACAGAATAAGTGCTCTTATTATTAGCTACCATCATCATCATCATCATTATTATCTATAAAACGGTCACAAAACTCAATTAATCAATCATTCATTCCACACACTCTTCTTGAGCACGATACTGGGGCAGGCATTGGCCTCTGAGAATGTAAAATCCAGCGAGATAAAGAGAAATGTCAACATGTAATTAAAATATCGTGTGATGAGGCTATGACAGAGGTGAGGGGACACAGCAGTGGGAACCCAAAGAAGGCGTACCCGGCACCCCAGTAATGTAGCTTTGGGGAATGGATGCTTCTCTGGGGTGAAAATGGGTGAAAAATGATGAGAAAGTAACAGTATGTGAAAGGGCTTGGCCGGGGCTAGGGATTTCAAGGAGACGTGTTCCTGAATGTTCACTGAATCTCTGAGAGTAACAGCAAAAACTTGGAAATAACCTAAATGGCCACTGGAGAAGAATGGATAAATGTATGATGGCATAATTATACATAGCATATGTAGCAGTGAAGATGAGCAAACAGGAGATACGCTATCATCACAGATGACTCTCCCAGTCATCTGCAAAAGAATAAAACGCACGTCTGTATAATGACTTAAAACAATATGATTTGTTGCTAAGAGATGCATATACGCAAAGGAAAAAGTATGAAGAAGTCCATGGAGATAAACCCAAATGCTTCTTGGATGGCAGAAAGGAATGGAACCGAAGAGAGATACACGAAGGAGACAAAGTAAAACATTTTCTTTCTTAAATGGGTAGGTTCATATCTGGCATAGTTATGTTAATATCTGAAATGGTTTTCACTGGTGGGGTCTGACAACATTTCCTCTCAAGTTACCTTGACTGTCGCCATGACTCACCGTGATGAATAATGCCCCGGTCTGCTAATTTTTGCATAAGTTTAATTGCAGTCTCTCTATCAGAAGCCTCTTTGTGCTCGATCAGCCAGTCGATCAGCTCTTTGGCGACAAAGCAGTTTGGGTAGGTTTTGAGATGATGCCGTCTATCTTTAATAACCTTTTCTTCATGCAGCCTGAGCCTAGAAAGAAGTTTTGACAATCATTTTAGGAATTTTGATGACAACACAAATTATCAAACGAATCCCAGAGATCAGTGGCAAAACGGAAGCTCTAATACACCAGAGCACCATTCAAATATCTTGATGTCAATGGGTGATTTCCACACTGTCAGAACCCAGAGGCCTCAGAAAGTGATTTTACCCTCAGATCTGGAGATGATACAGGTAAATGGGAGGGAAAATCAACCGCAGACAACCCAGAGCTCTCCTGCCATTCGGCAGAGTGAGCAAAGCTGTCCCGCCCCCACCCAGCTTCTCTGCCTTCTCATTATTGCTCCACCAAATGGGCTTATGGCTTTGACCGACCGACCGACCGACTGACCAACTAAAGCTCCAGAAACCTGCTGAAACCAGGTCCTTCCTCTTCACCACAGATTGCCCAACGTGCACCATTTTTGTATTCATTCATTCGTATGACAAATATAAATGAGTGTCTATTACCTGCCCTTGAGGCACTTCCAGGCATTAGAGACATACATTGGAAAATACCCAAAAATCCTTGCCTTTGCAGGCCTCGTATTCTATACAGGCAATAGTTCATCTTTTTGTGAGGCTTACTAGGTTTCGCATGCTGATTTCAGCGCTTTAGATAGTTATACACTTAATGTTCATAACAGTGTCATCAGAAATTATTATTGCTTGCTGTTTCTTTTCTTTTCTTTCTTTCTTTCTTTCTTTCTTTTTTTTTTTTTTTACAGAAGAGAGAACTCTAAGGCCTCAGAGATATTAAGTGACTTCCCTAAGACCACACAACTAAAAAGTGGTAAAAGTGAGATCTGAACCCTGATGATCTCACTTCAGAGTCCAGCTTTCCAATGGACACATCATGCTGCTTCTAGCTCGGGAGAGATAAACCAGAAATCCAGGAGAGATGGATTAAAGCTGCTGGACAAATACAGTTTATTTACAGGCTGGTGGAGAATAGTAATAAATGACTGACACAGAACTTTCCCTTATTCCTTTCAGAACCCAGTGACTTTTCCGCGAAAGTCTTAAATAAACCTGCCTTAAAAAAGAAAAGTAATATTCCATTTGTCTCTCCTTCTTTGATCAGTTTCGCATTTACTTTGTAATCCTCAAGTGACGGGTTTGAATTGGCTGAACCATGAGATCAGCGTTCGTCCTGCTTCATTCACGTGGCTCCTACGCTCCTCATGTTAATCCTCAATGCTGTTGAGAAACTGGAGTGTCCCACGAGTAAATCACACAGTGACTGTGTGACCGGGACAAGTGACTTCATGTCTTTTTCTCTGTAAGACTGAGGCCGTTAGGCCTACCCTATCCTTGGCAATGTTGAGATTTGGGGACACGATGTCTGTGAAGCGACAGCAACCCAGCACTGACAGATAGGTCTCATTCTCCCTTCTCCCACCTCCTAGGGAAGGAAATGGATCATACTCTCGCCTGATTTTTTGAACAGAGTTCAGTGAATGGAATTTAATGGGTTTTGACAACCCAAGGGTTGAGATTATGAGCTGGCTGTATACTGGGCTGGAGCTCTGAGGTTAAGCTGCTCTTCCTTGCGAGACACAGTGATAGGCTGAACTGTGTTCCCCTAAAATACATATACGGAGGCCCTAGCCCTTGGTACCTCAGAATGTAACTATATTAGAAGATAGGGCCTTTTAAAATGTAAATAAATTAAAACAAGGTCATTAGAGTAGGCCCTAATCCAATATGACAACTGTTTTTATCAGAAGAGGACACGGACACGCACAGAGGAGAGATCAAGCGAAGACACAGCTGGAGAAGGCGGCAAAGAGAGAGGTCTCAGAAAAACCCAACCCTGCTAACACCTTGATCTCAGATTTCTAGGCTCTGGAACTGTGAGAAAGTCAATTTCTGCTGTTTAAGCCACTCAGTCTGTGAAACTTCATTAGGCAGCCTGAGCTGACTACGACCACCTACAATTGTAGACTGGGGGCTCCTGAGTAGTCTGGGGATGAAGGGCTCAGCTGAGGAAGGGAGAAGGGAGAGAAATGAGAGAGTCCTAACAGCTGTTAACTGCACAGGAAAAAAAAGAACCATTTTAGTGGCGATCCTACTATGCGCCCAGTATCTTACCAAGTATTTTCACATGGGATGACTTAATTAATTGCTATGGCCTGAATGTTTGCATCTCCCCCAAATTCTCATGTTGAAATACTAAACTCTAAATGTCTAAGCTCTATGCTATACATCTGAAACTAATATAATACTGAATTTCAACTGTAATTTAAAAAAAATAAAAATAAATTTTTAATACCTAAAGAAGAAATATTAAACTCCAAAATGTCAGTTATGAAAACAGGAACACAAGAGTAGGACTAGGAAGACTTGGCTCTCGTCCCGACACTGCGAGTCATCCCAGACGATCAAACTTCTGAGCATCAGAGTCCTACTGATAACGTGGATAATGGTATCCACTCTGATTTCCTCATCACCGTCACAAAGCTCATTAATAAAGATAAAGAAAGCATGTGAATCCTTAGTATGGTGCTAGGCACAGTTTTTACTACTTTATTGGTATTAATCCTCATGTCAACTCCCCAAGGCAGGTCATGTTAAAACCACAAACGATACCAATGAAAAGTTGTAATTATTAATAAAAAAAAAATGAGTCCTAATTAAAGAAAAAAAACACGTTCACATGGGCATGCTAAAGTCATCACACGAATCCTTCTAATAAATTCAGTGGCAATGACACCAAGTAATTTGTTTAACATGCTCAAAGTGGCAGAATGAGAAACATTAATTCTTAGATGTGATGTCTGTCAGGAACTCAAGAATAATAAAGACCAATTTATTTAGAAATTAAAATATGGAATAAGCTACCATATAATTTGGCGGAGGAGGAATATGTTATCAGCCGAAGAGGAGCTGCAAACATTCAGGCCATAGCAATTAATTTAAGTTGCTAACTTAAAAAAAAAAAAATTATTAGGTAATGTTTATCTTTAAATACTACAGAATAGAACCTTTCAGCTTCTATCCTTTCGTGAACCCTGAGCTAGCTGTTAATTCTTGAGCATGCTCGATTTCCACCGACTCCTACCCTGCCTGGTGGGGAGAAGAAGCACTAGACACCGTCCCCTCAGCCCCATCAGGGCCTGGTACATTTCCATGTTTAGAAAACCGAGCAGAAATATGCTGGAGGGGAAAGAACTTTGGATGCAGGAGGCAGGCTGGAACTTGATATTTTTAGACGTTACAAGGGGTTGAAGACATTCGATGACTGCTACCATCTTTTTTCTTTTAGTCAGAAACACAGAATTCTAAAAATGAGCATTGAAAATTGCATATTCCAAAAAGAAAAAAAAAGTATCCCAATAAAGGGGTAAGGATTTTTACACTGAAAATACATAAATAAGGATTTTGCCTGGCACCATGGGTACTTAATAAATATTTGGTGAATAAATGTACAAGGGAACTAATAGAAATACTATTTTTTCAAAAACATAGGGAAGCTTCTCACTAACTTAGTAGGAATTCCCACCCCACAACTTAGTAATCAACTATTATCATGGAATTTATCTAAGTCTTTTTTTTTAAATTATGCTTTCACTTCTAGGATATTCAATTTGTAGAACTTTAATCCCTGGGATGCGTGTGTGTGTCTAAAAAGCATTTCTTTTACTTGAACTAAACTTACTCCTTACAAGTTCTCATAGCTTTTAATACATTTATATGCATGAAGATCTCTAAGAAGGAGACAGAGTAAGCAATATTTCAAAATCTTGAAAAATGGAAATTTTGCATAGCTGAACCTCTCATGGAATAGCGTTCTCTAGAAAGACTCCACAAAATGCTGAGCGAGGGGCTCAAAGCCATACTTTTCAACATAGCATTTTGCCTGGACAGGTCAGTCACATCGTCTGCCATGTCCAAGATCCCCCTCGATTTAAAACTGCTTTCCACCCCTTGCCCACTCCAAGCAGGGTTCGAAAATCCTCTGCCTGTTTTCTTTACATGGGTCGCACCTGGCTGGAGAGCCCTTGACCTATGGTGGCCCCTGTCGATCCCCACTGGCAGTTCAACCAGGAGACCAAAGGCATGAGATTCTCCCCATTGCAAGGGACAGTAAGTAGCTAAGCCAAGCAGAATGGCTCCCTCCAAGGTTATACTAGACCTGAAGTTTTCAGACTCCAGTTGTGCCATAGAACACTTTCTTGAAGTAGAACTTACCCAGATGTCAATGCGTAAAAGCAGAACAATTTGGGGTGCTTTGGTTAAAAGGGGTATGGCTGCCGAGTCCAGAGTATTACCTGGTTTCTCCATTCAGTTCTCCAATATACATCCTCCAAATCCTCTTAACTATCTACATGGAATTCCTCAAAAAAGGGTTTAAAATGCCTAAACTAGAAGACATGGGGAATCCGGGCAACCAGGGGTGAGAGGGGACAGGGCAGGCCAGCGCAGCAAGCTGAGAGAGCAGTAGGAAGAGCCGGAAATGAGATGGCAAGAGACAATTCACAGCGCCTTGGTTCTTCAGTTTTCCAGTCCTTCCTCTACTGTGTATACCCTACTGATGACCAGAACAGCACCGATCCCTTCAGGTGGCTGTATTCCAAAAGAGGAATCCAAAAGAGCTGCACCTCTCCTGGTTCTGAGGAGGTGTCTCCTGGGATAGACTTCTCTTCGAGGACCTTACACTCTGACCCAGGACCTCCTCCCAAGCTTCCGCGCCTCTCTCATACCTCCCAAGCTCGCCCACTGTGCAGTCTGGACACCCCGGGCTCTTCTCCGTCCCCTGAACATGCCATCACCCTCCGTGCCTCTGCTACAGGCAGATCCCTCGTCTTGGAATGCTCCCTCCTCCTGCCTCCAATGATTCGAAGAAGTCTACCTGCTCTTCAGCTTGAAAGGCAACTCTTTCTAGCCTCCCACAGCCAGAAAGCAACCTTCTTCTCTTTGTTCTCCCATAATATTTTAATCACACCAATAAAGCATTCATCCCGCTGTATTACAATTAAATGACGTCA